GATATGTGCATAGCCTAGATGTGCAGTCACCGATCCCTTTCCATTTTCTGTCTATAATTCATTTACCTTCAACTACTTCGGTGTGGGAATTGTGACAATTTCTCTAGCACCTTTGGTAATATTGATAGTTTCTCTAGTACCTCTGGTAATATTGATAGCATGGAAGGCCTATGAGGAGACCTGAGAAAATATCAGGCCCTATGGCAAGGACGGGTTGTCTCAAAGGCTAAGGCTGTTGCGTGCAGCCTGTCCTTCTATGAAATTCACTCTCATCTACATCTATAGTCATCTTTTTGTATATATATATCAACATCTCATTTTGTTGACATTTTGTTTTTGATATGTATTCCTTGGAATTTTGTTCACCTAATTCACCCATTTGAGGTTAAAGTATGTTTGCTGCCTCTCTCTGTAATCTTAGAGGATTCATTTAGATATTGATTGCAACAATGAAATTCTTGAACTTCTTTTACTAAGAGATACCTTGTCATCACTTCAGCTTGTTGTTGAAGTCATAGATGAAGTTCAGTAAAATGAATAAAGGTTAGGAAGTATATTTTCTAATGCATTGCCTAATCATCAAATGAATAAAAAATAAAGCAGTAGATAATCCTTTGTTTCAGAAATTGACTTCTTACTTTTAATTTTTAGTTTTAATTTTATTCATTATAAGCCTTGAAGTATATGATGATGTACAATTAGATATGGAACTATAGATGAAATGGTTGGCTTGTTAATTTTTAGTTTTAATTTTAGTCATTATTATTCCAAACAGATCACTATCAATCACATGGAAACCTAAGTTTGGTCGACTTGTTACACTAATTTTGTGATTGTCAAGTTGTTCTTTTTCCTTTTCTTTATTTTTTGCTGCATTGGAAATGCATTTTGACACTACCCTTATTTTAGCTAGAAAACAAATTATGGTCCTTTGATCCCTTATTTGCAATTTTTGTTTTTCAAAATATTACAGAGTAAATTTCAATTATTTTGTCATTTTTCTGGACAAGTTTAGAATTTTTGGTTGGTGGTTAACTCTGGATTCCTGGCTTCCTGCTATTAATTTCCAGATCTGTTGAAGATCCTGTTAAAGACAGCAGTTGAGAGTAGCCTTCGGTTTTACTGAGAGAAGAAGAAGGTTAGTCAATACCTAATGCACTTGTAATTTTGTTAATTTGTGCTGATTTGTTCCTAATTCAAATGCAGTTTAATTTTGTTGGTATTTGCTTCTTCTTTTTCTTTCTTTCTTTTCGATTATAGTTTCTTTCTTTAATGCTATTGATCTAGTGTCTTTTGTTGGTTGGTCCTTTTGCTATGCAACCAAACAGTGGTTGTATTTTGCTTAGTTGAATAATAATTTTAATTTAGGCCATGTATCTTTGATTAGCAGTTATTACTGTTTGACTGATTCCTAGACAGTTCAACCCAAAATACAATTTTAGCTTAAGAATAGATTAAGGAGCAATTTATTAATGCTAGTCAACCTCGTTGGTTCTCTTGTCTTAAATTTTCATAATAGAATTCTAACTAATAAAACTATCCTACACCTTAATGGCATGCTTCCTCATGGGAAAAATGCATCTCTCTTCTTCTCCCTTTTCGTCTTCAATGATAACAAACCAAAACAAAAGAAAAACAAAAAAACCCATATTTAAATGAGACTGAGTTATTGAGTTATTCCATAAATTATCCAAATGAGACAGATAGGATGTCCGGCTTCCGGATCACCGAGCCGTATTTAAGATTTTGTGTTGTAGCAGCAAAATAATAGTGTTAATCGTTTACATAATTCATAGTTAGACTCTTTCCATAGAAAAAAAACTAGAAGAGACTGCCATACTTGGGGAGGTAGAATAGCCTAACTAGAGTCTAAGATTTAAGTCAAAGAATCTGATCTTGATGAGTTAAAGTCTCAATCTGCAATAATTTTGTGTGAAATGGAAAAGATCTTCCCACCTTCATTCTTCACTGTGATG